AAAGTTACCAGGAACTACTTTATCTATGTTCTTATTTATATCATCATAGGAAGGTATTGCCACTTCCTCTTCTTGAATTTTTAACATTGCCCTCTCCTCTGCATTTGCCATTTCAATTTGCTTCAGTATCTGAAGCCTTTTAAGTTCAGTTTCCTGATCAAGAAACTTCATCTCTACTTCCAGCTTTGCTGCGGTTGCTACTGCTTTTACCCTTCTCGAATGGGCAGAGGAACTTGATGACTTAGACTGCATACTTGATCTATTACTGTTCGGTTTACTGTATAACTCTCTCTCTAAAGCATGAATCCGCTCACATACCTTAAGTCTACATCGATAGTATTCTCTATTTCTAGTGTCAAACCATTGGTAGGATTGATCTTTGTCTTCTGTGGATGACAACATACAATTATACTTGCCGTGTGCTTCACCAAAATTTTCCATTTCAAGGTCTAAAGCATCTCTGGCTTGCTCCAGTTTTTCAATGCTAGCACCATCATTTAGCATGCCATTCACTTTCTTAATATTTACCAATAATTTTCCATGGGCTATATAGATCTATTCTGTTGCAATAGGTCAATTTGGTATTCTTTATCTTTTTCAGTCAGTTTTATCTGACGTTTTGGACGCAATTTACCCTCATCAGCAGTTGATTCTGGTAATTCTTTATTTTCGGTAACGTTTAAAAGCAAATCTGAACTCGAACCACCTTTACTTGTAGCCATTTTTGCCAACTTTAAAAAGGTTCCTTTATATTGATACTACATGAAGTATCCCAATTTTCGAATATAATCGACAAAATATTCTTCGGATTTTCGGTATCAATAAACCACTTTGACCACAGATTTTCGACTGTTTATCATAAATAATCCATACAAAAAACCGAAATGGACATATTTTACTATATCGGCCACGATAATAGGGCCAATTTGCGTTGGATTTTACTGCAAACTACATATAGAAGACAAACAAAACACGCCAACGGACACAATTCAAGTCGTTTCAACTATGTTGTAATTTACGTAAACTATAAAGAAAAGATACAAAATACACTTAAACAATACATCTACAAGACATTTAGCTAATGAGCAAATACAATTACTTACGTATCTAACACAACAATGACCTTTTTCGTATGGATTTAAACTGATACTGTCAACAACACGCTGACCTTTACAAAAACTCTAAAACCATTAATATCCCAGACTGCAAACGGTCTATTAATATCTAATTTATGCGGTTCTAATTCATGCAAATTTATGCATGCAGCTACAGTCCCAGTTCTGTTGCTGTCTCATATCCCAATAATGACCCAGAATTTCCTTCAACAACATGAAATGTTGCAGATGTAGTTCTTGTACTATTACAAAATTGAACTTCAAACTTGCCGGTAGTGGGTAGAGGAACTGTAGAGTCGTATGGGTATATTTTGATTGACGTAGGTTCCAGTTGGAGTTTCGCATTGTTCATTTGAATACGTTAAAAAAAAATTGCAGAATCTAAAATATTTGTTGTTGCACCAGAGTCAAGAACTAACCTTAACTCCGTTTCGTTTATTTTCGCTGTCACGAACACACCCTTGTTTGGGTTGGTTACCTTCGTTGGGCTGAACTTGAATTGACCTTGGGTCAAGGTGAAGCTATATTCGTCGCTGTCATCATTCGCCGAAATTCCGGTTCCGGTCTCTCGTGGCGTTGTTATGATTGTGTTGATAGAGTTGTCGATTTCATTCGATTTTTCCCTGTTTTGTGCACGAAATTCTGGCTTTCGCATTGATAAACTGCTGGAAACTTTGGCAAATGGTTGAGCTTTCCGCACGAGCGACATAATTTTCCTTGTGCTGGGCAAACTTGTTTGTGACCTGGAAATTAGTTGCTACCACAGTTAAAACATTTACCAGTATATATTCCGGATATATTCGCTGTTTTGCTTTCTTGTTGAAATGACTCGTTCTGGTTGGCACTTCGAGAACGATTGGTTGTAAGTCGATTCAGTTTGGTATCTTCTTCGTCGGCCATAACACTGACATGACGATTAGCGGTTTCCTGTGCCCGGGCTAGTTCTTGTAGCTTTTCGAGAGTGAGTGTCGGCTCACCAAGTAATTTCGCACAAAATACCTTTGACGGCTAAGTGATTACAAAGTGATCTCGAATTTCATCTTCTACACTCGCATACTCACATGTATCCGCTAGCTGTCGAAGACGTGTAATGAAATGATCAACCGATTCGTCAGGACTAGCTAGGATCTGTTCTGTTCGAATACATATCTTTCATAAATTACGTTTTTCTGCGGTTGAAAATAACTATCGAGTTTCTCCACAGCTGTTTTGTAATCTGTGTCAGTATTGGTTAACGTGTTGAAAATCTTATGAATTGCAGGATCAGCAACGTAGAGTAAGAGAGCACGCTTTTGTTTGGCATCCGTTATATTTGCTGCAAGCAAGTACATGTCAAATCTTTCACGCCAGTCTTTCCATCGTTGAGCTATCGCCGAAGGCGTGAACCGAGTACCACAGGCACGAGTACGCTAGGGGGATCTGGGGGCAAGCCACCCCCCAGGAAATTTTTAAAAATGGGTCTCTGAAATAGCTTTTTCTGCATTCTGAAACACATTTCAAAAAATCTCAGCTTCAGCATTTGTTGGAGTAATACTTTCCAAAGTCTCCCAAAATATCAGTCCAACACAAGAGGAATAAAAGGAGAATACACAATATCAAATAGGCAATTGCAAGTCAATTTCATTTTAAAATTTATATTTTATGACATATTTTTACAATAATATATATTATTATACTGACCCTTGTGAGATTGGGCCGCCTGTGCTCAAAACAAAGTTTTAATGGTGGAATTTGTGATAAATAATAGTCTTTATCAGTGTCACTCAAATATTTTAGTTTCTTTCCTTCCTGTCCAACAGGGCTTAGATAATTTGCCGACTACCTGACGACTGAGGGTGTTAAACACCCACACCCAACCACCATCCACCCGCTTGGCACCACCCTTGACTGTTCTGACTTTTATAAGATGGAAATGGAATGTCGAGCATGTGAGAGAATATGAGAAATCTGGCCGATGCAGCTTTTTCAACAAGGTTTACTAGTGATCAAAAGGGCCCAGTTCATCTGAGAATCTTGCTTCACTACTGGGACAAACACAGGGCCTACTGGGGAAAATTTCCCACAAGTTATATAGTTAAAAAATGTGCTGGTGTGTATACTTTGTCTTACTTGGCCAGTTAACTTTTAATTACTTTAAAATGCCCATTTTGAATAACCAGCTGTGTTTATATTTAATACTTTGTCTTTGTAAACAACTATACGCCATATGTATATGCCAAGAACTGAGCTTGTACACCGGACTTGCCGGCTATGAACATCGTCAGGGCCGTAGCGACCGGGGGGGGGGGTTGCGTGGGGAGGGTGTGTAAAACCCCCTATAATTGCTCATGAGCAATTTCAAGTAGATTTTCAGTAGACTTTCAGGTAAATTCAGGTAATTCTCAGGGCATAAAAAAGTGAACACTATGCTCTGAATCAGAATTAGAGTTAACAATCGTCCAACTAAAGACGTTGAGACACGTCGTGGCGCGGTAGATATTTTTCGAGTTAATTCCTTCGAGTTAAGGCCCTGCCATTCCCCTTTTTGCCGGTTACTTAATTCGACGAACATAAGACTGTTTTGGTACTTCGGGTTAAACACCGGGACTTAACTCCAGGGCAATTAACGATTTAATTAAGTATTCGAGTTAAGGTAATTCCGCAGTATTGCATTGCGCACTTTTACTGTGCACATCTTATAACTTATAATTTCATCCATTACACGTACCGTTTAAAACAAAATATCATTTTATGACAATTTTATGTTACTTCAAAACATCTTTGGTCACATTCGTGCAAAGAATTACGTTAAAATCGATGTTTTCAAAAAAGGCATACAAAAGTGTAGCCATGGTTCCCTGTGTGTGTAGTATATTTATTTACCTGTATTTCACGTTTTAATGCCACAATTCCCTAAAAAGATCGCTGACCCCAGTTTTTTAACTGATAATTTATTTCTTTAATGCATTTTACATTTCATATCCGAAATTAAAAGAAAAATGATTTCTGGATCTTGAAAAAAAAAGGTTTATCAATGCATGTTCTCAAAGAAAGATATGTAAAGAAATGTTCAAAAGACATTTGTGGATCAGAATTGTACACGTTAGTAGTTTCATTTTGCTCAAAACACAATATTTTTAAAAACATTTTTTACAAGATAGGTTTACTAAAGCAAAATCCGCCCTAAAAACGTCAGTAAATATCGAGCTGTTGTGATTATGTTGTTATACTCGTAATGAGCGTCAAGATGGCGCCATATTGGGGTAAAGGTGGCATATTGTGATTGTCATATCTTCTTAACGAGTTTGGTTACCCCGATTTTTTATGTGATTTTATTTTAAGTATATCATAAACTCCGATCCATGCCTGGGAAGTTTCAGCACATTCTCATTTCGGGAACAATTACTGCGGAATTACCTTAAGCTTGGACATTTGGTAGATGTAAACAAGTAACGCGTGTATACTCCCAAAGATACTGGCAAATAAGGAGGGAGAATGTAAAATTTCAGCAATTTTAAGAAATATATTTTACTAATACCTATTGCTTTGCCTACAATTTTATTGAGACAATGACATTGTGAAATGAGAGAAGTCAGTAAGGACTTATATATGAGAACAGCTCATTCCGGGTGTCACTATTATACGGCTTTAACAAATAAATAATATAAGCGGCACTTGCAGAACGCAAATCGCAGGAATTACCTTTCTAACACACTTACTCGGAAACGACAAGATCTACAATCCTTCACAAAAATTATGAGACTACCAATGTGAAAGTTAAAATAAGATTTACTCTCCCCTCCCCTCTGCGGAATAATGTTGCATGCTCGTGATCGAGTTGAATTTGTGTAGCAGAATGCTTGCAATGACTGTCAACATTGTTTTGAAGGATTGTAGAACTAGAAAATTATGTAAACTCGTTTTATCGTTTTCAACTGGCCAACAACCCTTCAGAGAGGGAACAGACAGGAAGAACAGTAATACCGGTATATTATAAATCGATTATGGATAACAGATGTACAAATATTTCCACTAATTAGAACGGTACCAATAACGGTACTATTTATGTACAATTTGGATATTCTCATATAAATGAAGAATGAAATTCTAGCTAGTAAAACCATTTTCTAACAAAACAATTCAGTATGATGTCACGCTCTAGTATTCAAGTCCCCTACATTGGAGAAGAGATATATCTTTAGGGAAGCTTCACATATCAATTTTGTCCATGAGAAACGTCATATGGACGTTTGTCTGGAGACACCTACACCCCATCCCCGTCTCAGAAACATCACACATAGTTACCGATATTTTGTTCTTATAGTACACATAAGGTTATTTTCTACTATTTTCTACGGTCGGCTATTGGCGATGCTTCCGCGAGGAATCTGCCGACATATGTTTTTTTATTAATATATAAACTTCAAAATTTCCATTGTTTCTCAAAACAATTTTTTGCCTGAAATATTGACAATTTTAGCGCGTTTTCTTGAAATTTGAATGTTTTCAATGCAACGAAGGCGTAATAAATTATATGTATAGAACATGCAGGTATGGTATGGTATTAGCGAATGTATAGCCGTAATTGCCGCCCTGAATGAGCTGTTCTAAACCCTTATTGAGTTCTCTCATTTCACGATGTCATTGTCTTTATAAAACTGTAAACAAAGTACCAGAGATCTTAGCAAAATATATTTCTTAAACTTGCGGAAATTTTACATTCTCCCTCCTTATTTGTCAATATGTTTGCTAGTATACACGCGTCACTTGTTTACAACTGCCAAACATCGGGGCTTAACCGAAATACTTAAATCATTAATTGACTTCGAATTAAGGGAGCAGTCATTATTAATGCCGGGGGTGGGGCCAGAAGATATTTCTAAACTCATGGTAAATTTTTCATGGCCCCTCATTCTTTCAAAATATTTTTTTCATGCCCCCCCTCTTTAAATATAATAAATTTTATAGCCCCCCCCCCCTCATCTACCTCCTGTGATTGAACCTGCATTCCAAACATATACTATAGATCACAGACTTGTATATTATAGCAATGTATATTATAGCAAAAATATGTAATAAAATATAAATTTTAAAATGAAATTGACTTGTCTATTCGATAGTTTCCGAGACTTTGCACTCGATCAGTCTCGATGGTACTTGACCCTTGCGAGATTGGGCCACTTGTGGTGTAATTAATGATTTTCGATGGCTGGGTTTATTCTATGGCTGGGGTGAGCGGGAAATCAAAACAACAAGTCCAATATGGCGGGGAAATTTATTTTTATCTTGTTGAAAAACCACATGGACGAATTGAACAAACTTTTTTGCACAAGAATGAGTTTAAAAAACATAGTATGGCAAAAAGAGCCTGTGGAGAATAACTGAAAACAGTTTTAAGAAATAATCTCGGCGAGATGCAGCGAAACTTGACTATGTATTAAAGTCTGTAATGCAATTTATAAAGATTTTCTTAATACTCTGAACATATGTTATTTGAGTATGAATCATTTATCCTAGTTTAAGTTATGTGCCTTTATGAGTTTGTGATCATTTCCCAAGTTTGTTTATGCCAAATTGCTTACAAAAGAATTAAAAACTCTTGACAAAATGAAGTTGAATTTTAAAGAAAACTATTTTGTCATCATGCCATGCATAAAATAAATAAATGATCACAAGGGCATGTCGTGCGACTAATTATTAACGGCTTGAGCAATTTTGGCACATGCATTTTACAAATATCACTCAGTGTTAATTATTAATTGCACTCCTTCCCGCGTGATTACCGCATTGACATTTATATTACAGTGAACTATAATTGCCGATGTTTTATGATTATTGCACATTATTTTTCATGGCCCCCCTACCTTTCTTTGATATTTTTGGTAGCCCCCCTCCCCCCTAAGTAATTAATAAATTTTTGGTGGCCCCGCCAAATATCTTCCGGCCCCACCCCCGGCATTAATAATGATATCGGTAAGAGTAAGTAATAATGATATCGGTGTAAGAGTAAGTAATAATGATATCGGTGAATCGGTAAGAGTCTAAAAATGCCATTACCAGGCGGTAAGGTTCAAAAACTTTCACTCGGCACCAAAGTCAGGTAAAAACGTTAGGCTGGAAAATTCATGTAAATCTAACCTCCGCCCTCCCCACAGAGGCAAAGTCCTAGCAACGGCCCTGATCATCGTTCAGTATTGTTCGCATTCAAAACAAATCTCTTCACCGAAAAATATATGCAATTTATTTCTGGTGTATCGTTTTCCAGATTATTTTTCAAGTATTTGAAACCTTTGTATGCCCAGAAGTAAATCTCGATTCTTGAGGAAATCTGAGAATTTATACTAAATTGTTGTGTTAGTATTTTAAACGCATGCTAATTATCAATTAACCAATGAAATATCTTTATTTGTCATATATTATTCAAGTAAAGTACTCCCCAATCAGAGGCCTTTCCACAAATTTGTTGAAAATCCACGTGACCAGAACAAGGAATCTTCATCCAACTCACAGACGTTCTCTCGTGCGCTTCGTCGAGAGTAACGTCTATACACAGGCTATAGGTTTATTATTGCCCATTGTTAAAAAGTGGAGGGCCCCAAAGACATTTTCCCTCCCCCCCTCCCTCCCCAACTGAAAAACTAAAACACAAGTTTAAAAAAGTGAATTTGAGGTACGAGAAAAATAGCCCGTCATAGAAATATAGCCGTTTAAATAAAACTGTTCAATGCTAATTTTTTTTATTACAGGACTAAAAGCGCTCAAATAGAATCCATGCTGATACATGAGAAGACAAAAACTAGGATATGTAGCAAAGCACTTGGAGTAAAATAAAACACATACTTATAGTAATGATTATAAGCGCTATTTTGAAAGTAAAAATAAAATGGATCATACATTAAACATGTGTTGCTTTTTATATGTCTTAATGAAGCATGGATCTTATAAACACTTATGAGAACCGACAAAACTCCCATAAGATAAAAACACGCCGATGCAAACCCCAGATTACTGAATTTAGTCAACCGCCGAACACATTTTAATCTAAGTGAAATAAAAAGTGCGAAAAGTCTTTTATTAGCACATTTTTTATGTATATACACAATTACGATTACACTTCCGAATAGTGCAAATTTACATGTGGATATGATGCCCTTTAGGGGCAATGCAAAATTTATTGCAACCCAGGGGCGTGGCAAATCAATTTTTAATGTAAAAAACAGCAAACACCGCTTAGGTTGGTGTGATAAAAATCTCAAGCCCCACTTGGAACTTAGCTAACAGGGTTTATTTTAAGAAAAATTTAGAAATGCACATATAGGGATATGTTACGAAGGCAACGGGTGTTGTTTGACTGGGGGTGAGGGGTAGTCGAAGGATTTTTTACCTGCATATAGGTGACAGAATAATGGTATGGTTTGGGTGAAAGGCCAGACAAACTCGATTTTGGGTGCGGGAACTTTGGGCCCGTGTTCTCCAAAACAATTTGAATCTACAGGCTCTTAAAAGATTAGTTTTACGCAACCACTCACTAAAACTGTTTCAAAACATGTAACTGGGAATCATGGATATTCAATATATACCAACCTTAAATTTGCATTTGAGGCAGCAAAGAATATTAGATTTTCGCACTCTAATCTCTTTTGGGGAGCTTCGCTCGCCCCAATTTTACCTTCTTTTCCATTAACCCAGCACGTAAGTGATTTGTGAGGAAAATAGGAGGGTTTGGAGACATCCCAACAAAACATTTATATTCTTGATGCTCAATTAATGACAACCTCGTACCCAGGCTCTTTCCACCACGTGCCTCGTGGAAAGAGCCTGGGTACGAGGTTGAATTAATGGAACATTTCTGCAATTTTTTGAGCATCCACATGGGTAACGAGTAAATGAGAAGACTGTTTTAATTAAGGCTATTTTTGTTAGTTTGGTGATTGCACATTTACATTTATACATAACTCCACAAATGGGTTTAGAACTGCACATTTTGTGTAGAAGTGCACATTAAAATAAACCCTGTTTGCTAAAAAATTTGCTGCCCCGCACTACTATCAGTAAGGGATCGGTCATTGGTTATGGCTGAGGTGGGGGCCGAACGGAAAGTATAATAGAGCCGAAAAATTCATTCCCCCCACTTTTTTCGAAAAAAATATCTAGCTACCTCCACCTTTGCAATGCTGGGAAAAAATTTTTAATCCACCCAAACCTTTTGTTGCAACATCAAATACATATATATATATATACATATATATATATATACATATATATATATATATATACATATATATATATATATATATATATATATATATATATATATATATATATATATATATATATATATAAATCAATTCGCTTACCTTAAAATTCCGCAACAGTCTGTTTCATCAGTAAAGAATCATGA